ACGTTTTGGCGTGGACGGGGAGGAGCGTTGTGGCGCAGTGCAGCGGCGTAGCTCATAGCTTCCGGCTCGGGCAGCGGTGCGTGGGGAATTTGAAGCGATTGCCGAACTTCTTCTCGCACAATGTCGGCGATCGAATCCACTTGAGGCTGCGCCGAAGGCAACAGCTTGCGCAGCTCTTCCCGCACGATCGCTCGGATCGTTTCACGCAGGTCTCCGGAGTTACTGGCTTGAGCAGCAGCGCAGTTTGCAGTCAGGCGACGATTATACTGTCTGGTGCGCATGTCCAGGGTCTTTTCAATAGTGGTCGCTTCGGCTACAAATTCTTGGACGGTTTTCGGTGGGTTTCTCATCAGTCCCGCAAAGAGCTCCTGTTTGACCCCTCGCAGGAGGAAACGAACTTTTTTCTCCTCAGGCATGTATGGGTCAGCGTGACGGAATAGTCGGGTCATTTCTTCTGTGAAAACGGCGACATTTTCATTTGGTAGCTGAACCCGGGTCTCTAATAAAGCAGCGGCCCTCTTTTTTCGAGCGACGCTCGCGAACGTTTGCAGGAATGCGCCGCAGAAAACATCCCACGTTCGGAGCGTGGACTCCCGATTTTCGAGCCAGGTCCTTGCGCTGTCTTCTAAATAGAAGAACACACGACGCAGCTTTTCGTCATGGTCCCAGTGGTTGAGGGCGGCCACACGGTCGTATGTCTCTAGCCAGGACTCCGGGTCTTCGAACGATGACCCATGAAAAATTGGTGGTTCCCTGGGTTGATGCATGACCATAGTGGGCTGGGACGCTGCGGTTGTCATTGTCGCTGCAGTCGCGGTCATGGCCTTGGTCTTCCGCGGCTTGTCGTGTAGAAGCCCCTACTCCGGTGGCAGCCCTTGCTGTCGGTGGCTTGTTCGCTGCTCCTGGTTGGCGTCGGTGTCTTCTCAGCGACGTGGGCTGGGTTCACGGCTTGACGGGGGCGTCCGGTACATGAACGAAGCAGCACCTCCACCAAATGTCACGGGGTCGTGACGTGGCCGAAGACAGGAGACTTCTTGTTGGAATTTAACTGTTTATTTGGGCGAACCTGTGCCCGGTAAACAGAAAGTCCAATTACAGCAGCAGTCTCGCACAGATAGCAGTCTCAGACTGATAGCGGCGAACGGAGCGTCGGCCTTCGATCAACAACTGACAAGCGGCAAAGCGCGTCGGCATTTATACTCCCGCCGTCGAATGTTCTGGCGCTGTCGCTGGCGGCGGCGTGCGTTCCAGAACAATCTGTACCATTCGCACAGTGGGCGTGATCTTATCGAAATGATCTACTACAGTCTGGAACCCTCTCGAAAACTGCAGGCGCGGTTTGCGCTGAGAATCGTGTGGTGTTTTGGGACGATAACAAAAACTTGGGAAATGGAACGTGGCAATATTATATACATTATAGGGCATATAATGCATGAATTAGTACAGTATGTATGGTCAAAGTCCAGTTAATATATCGGGATCACACTGCAGATAGAGACAGTACAGATAGCGGCAAGGTAGGATGTAAACTAAAGACAGTTCATTAGATTTGTGTAATCGTGAATGGTCGTCTGTCAAGTCGGTTCAAGCGATCCCTCAGTTCAGCGCATTGTTAATAATAATAATAATAATAATAATGATAGGGTCATTTTCTTATTGCTTTAGTTCTGAAGCATCGATTAAATTAGCTCTTGAGGCACAAGTGGGTCTGTTGCAAGCAATCTGAGCCTTGTTAAGCTTTTTTTATGTAAGGCATATGCCATTGTTTTGCTACTTCTTAATCTATTAACTTGGAAATTGTTACTCAGAAATGGCCGCACCTTCATGAATTTCTGTTTCGGAAAATTTGTACTTGGCAAGAAACATGTTTTTTTTTCTATATAAAGTTCTGGCACTGAAAAAACAATTACAGTTAATGAACATGGTGTGGGCATTTTTTCAAATCGGTAACTTGTTAAACTTCTTTTAGTGATAAACTTTGATGCATGTTCCAAGGCATAGGGCAGCATTGCACTCCTTGCCGCAATAAATTTTTTTTCTCCCATTTCTTGGGCTGCTGTGCAGTTGATGCTTTGTCAGAGCTCCATGCTTATTCATTGAATCCATGTACCAAGTTTGGTCCAACTCTTTACAAATTCAAGACTTCATGCACCAACGTACCGTATGAACCGGAATATAAGTCGAGATATTTTCAATAAAACAACGAGCTAAAGTCGCCCATCGTCTTATATAGGGGTGTCTAGCCGACAGTGCACCGCTGTCTGGCAACATGTGGCTTGCATGTGCATGAGAAGCTGGACACGGCCATATTCGCATTCAAATTCAATAGCAGGTTGTTGTTTTTTTCTCTCGTCTGTTTTTTTGTGTTCGTGATTTGCCTCCGATCTGTTCGAAGTTCTCGCTCCGCTTGACATTGTGTTTAATTTTTAGTGGTCTTTTTTCGTTCAACGAATATGAGTAGCGTTACGAGAAGGCAGTACTACTCAGCTGCGTTTAAACTAGAGGTTGTTGAGTTCGCCGAAGCGAATGGGAATATGGCTGCTCAGCGCCGCTTTGGTGTATCAAAAAAAAGCGTGTGCTATTGGAGGGTGCAGATAGGGAAGCTGCAGATGTGCAATCCTCGGAAAATGTCGTTTCGTGGGCGAAGTGTGGTTCATCCACACCTAGAGGATACGCTAGGGTACTTTGTGTGGGAATCTCATGCGTGCTCGCAGCCAGTGACCGTGGATACCACTCGCAAGAAAGCTCTAGAACTCGCTCACAAAGCTGGGCTCACGAGACAAGAGTTTCGTGCACCAAACTCTTGGGTGCGTCGATTCACGAGATGCAAAGGATTTTCTTTCTGGTGGCACACATCCATCCGTCAGAAGTTTCGAGACGAGTTCGAGGACAAGGTTATAAACTTTCAGGGCTTCATTAACCGGCTTCGGGAGCAGAATAACTACATGATGGGGCAGACTGACAATGTCGATGAGACCCTCGTGTGGTCTGACATGCCTTCGTTGACCACGATCACGCAGCGCGGCGTCAAGGATGTGAAGCTGTTGTCCACTGGCAACGAGCTCTCGTGCTTCACCGTCATGCTGGCATGGACGGCAGATGGTAGAAAGCTTCCGCCCTTCATAATTTTCAAACTTAGGACAATGCCGAAGGAAATGTTCCCGCCTGGTGTTGTCGTTCGCATCAACAAAAAGGGATACATGGACGAGGCCATGATGCTTGAATGGATAAGAGTAGTCTGGAACCGTCAGCAAAGTGCACTGCTGCGTCTTTACAGCATGCTGGTGTTAGATGCGTTTTGTGGTCACTTAACCGACGCTGTGAAGCGGGCACTGGGCAATGGAAGAACGGACCTCGCCGTGATTCCAGGTGGTATGACGTCCACCCTCCAACTGATTGATGTTGTGCTAAACAAGCCGTTCAAGGACCGAGTGCAGCTGGAGTACTAAAAGTCGATGTCCGGCGACAACCAAAAGACACCGACGGGCCGTCTACAGAGGCCTCCGCTTGCGACTGTTTGTGGCTGGGTGCTTTTCGCCTGGCGTTCCTTGCCACATTCCATGGCGGAAAATGCTTTCAAGAACTGTTCCATCAGCAACTCGCTGTATGGCACGGAAGACAACGCACTGTGGGAGGTGGCCAGCGACAAACACACGTCTTCAGAAGACAGTGGTGCTTGGTCTGACGATTAGGAACAGTTGCGATGGTGGTTGAGGGGAGCTTCGACGTTCAGGGTGCGGTGCGCCCAATTCACAAATAAATGTCGTTCGACAATTTTGGGTTGTTTTTTTCTTTTTTTTTTTCTTTTTCGGTAACCTGAACTTGGGGGGTCGACCTATGTTCCCACTGAACCTATAGTCCGGTTTATACGATAGTGGTGCATCTCTGAACACACTTCTTGCCATATGCTGCAGTCAACTAACTCAGTGTCACGTAGAAAACAAGCATCTCACCACTGTTCATCATCTCTTCCAAGAGAGCATAGCATATCTTCTACTTGAATAAATATATGTTTCACTTAAATTACGCTTTTCGACATGGAGTGCCAGTTGGGCATTCAGAGGCCCGTCCCCATTATGGGTACAGGAGAAGGAGCAGGAAGACAAGTGCCTGTCTTTTTTGCTACTTGTTCAATGTTAATTCCCACAAACTTGCCCAAATTTCAGCTCTTGTGTGTTACAGCGAAAGCTGTTATGAGACCACAACAAGGGTGGTGTGCACCGTAGATGTTCGCCGCTGCCGCCCGGGTCCGTAACCACTATCGTGCGAAATAAGAAAAGAAAAAGTGAATAGAAAACATCAAAGACAGGATGGGGTTCAAACCCAGATCCCCTGCATGCCAGCCCAGTGTTCTAGCACTGAACCACATCGGTGCTTGAAACTCCTTCACAAACTGGCTCTAGGCAGGCTTGATGCCAGGAAAGAAATTGCGTTAGTATCAGTAATAAAGCGTTTTAGAACAGCCAAGGAACAACCAGGAGCAACAATGTGAATTCCATAACGAGTGGGCCGTCAAATGCTCCAACCCATTACTAAAGCTTTAGGTATAATTCTTCATGTTCAGCCACAGCATAAAAAATGGCCAAAATCTCTTGCATGTATGTTGCAGGTACCACACACCTCCAAAGAATAGTGAAGAATGGCATGCTGAATGCCTCCCCACTACACAAAAATTGTGATGATTTATGGTATAGTGGGTACCCCGCAAGTCTGCTTGTAGCAGTTACCCCAAGAGTGTTCAAAAAGGCTCTGACTTTCGCGGTGACTGTGCTGCGGGTTGCGCACAGGCCTGGTGGTTTTCAAGTTGGTGCTGATGGGGCTGATTTGTGACCCAGTCAAGGAATTATTTGAGAATGTTGATTGATTTGTGGGGCTTAACATCCCAAAACCACGATATGATTGTGAGAGACGCCGTAGGGGAGGGCTCCAGAATTGAGAATGTCACTGATCTGCATGTGTGTACTATGAAGTTATAAGATTTTGCTTCTTTTTTTTTCCAGAGATGTGAAGAGGAAATCGGTGCTAAGAGATCAAATCTGTTGTCCGTCATTCTTGGTGGATCACTAGTCCGTCCTGCTGAAGTTGAGAGCCTTGAAGCAAGGTTTCAAAAGGTAAGTGCTATCTTTTGAAGGACTCTGGTGTTCCTCTTGGTTTCTTCGTTCAAGTAAACTATATGGATAACTATGTGACAAGTTGTCCAGTCACACAACACTGAAAAAAAAATGGGCGTAGCATGCTTGTTCCTGTAAACGTATTTGACTTCAGGATCAGCCAGAAAGGAACTATGCTTAAGTTCATTTGTCTTTTAATGAAAACATTTGCTTACTTTTCAGGCCAGCACAGCTCTGCCTCAGGCGCGCAAAACTGTGGAGTCGTACATTCCCCAGCTCACTGAATTTGAGGAAGAGATTGCAGCTGAGCAGCAGAGGTTGAGTGAAACTCGACGGGACGTTGAGAAGCTGTTAGCCGCTAAGCTGCTTGGAGAATCGCCTCCGGAGGTTAAGGTATTGGTCATACTTACGAGTTATCTATTGAGCAGAGACGACAGAAACTGGGGCGGTATTTGTTCATTGAAATCCAACTTTGTTCATAAAAATGCAACTTTTTCTGCAGTCTGTGATATCCTTTCTGCATAATTGAGAACGAAAATGACTGCACTGGTGTCTATGCAAAATGATTGCAAATATTGTACAGTTGATAGCTTTTAGAGCTTTAAAGGCAGAGAAGTGGTTGCGAAAAGGAGTTTTCTTTGGTCTTTTTGGTATACAGTGCAAATCAGCATAGTAATAGAGCACTTTGCCTAAATCAAGACAGCTAATTCACTCATAGGCTGTTACTAAAGTAAAGTCTTCGTAATGAAAGTGATTTAACATGTGTTGCCTGTTTTTGTAAACAATTTATCTGGAGCTGAGGTTGCTTAGCAAGGAAACTTCGTCTGCAGCCGAGTCATTTGGAACTCTCCTCACTGCCTTTATTTTTTTTTCCTATTTTGAGATTTAAATAACTGTTAGCCTCAACCTAGTCAAGAGAAGCAAAAACTCAAACAATTTCAATAGAGTTCTCAAATGCAACACAAGTTGAACAAAAAAGAGTATTTCATTTGCATACTAATTGTGAATATCTGCACTTTTTTAAAAACGAACACTTCTGAGAATGCAATGGCAACGCTTTTTTACAACTTGTTGCAGTGTCCTTGTTTCGATTTGTTTGGAGTCAAGAATTCATTATCGTTAATTGTGAAACACCATTGTAGGTGAGAAACTGAAGATATAAAAATTAAGTAAAAATACGGAGAATAAAACATTGAGCGATAAGCATATGAATGAACAGGGGTGTTTGACAATTTTTGTCATAGATGTAGCTGTTTTTGTTATTAAAAGCCTGTGCTACTAGCATTTGATACTGGTAAAACCATTTTTGTGTATGTGTGTTTTATTCAGATGAATAAACTTGTATTTTCTTTTGACTTACTCATGAAAGGTTTCAAAGAATCTTGGTAATTCATTATTTACTTTGTGTGTACTTAAGAGTACACGATAAGCCGTACTTAGGACTTGCAGTGTCTCCAGAATATTTTGCGAGTAGTTGAAAAAATTCAGCAGAAACAAGTTTACTGCTTTCTGTTGAAAGATTGAAAATACAAAGGAAAAATTCAGAGTACCATATTTACTTGCGTAATGAACGCACTTTTTTCAAGAAAAATCAGAGCAAAGTTTGGAGTGAACTTATCATGCGGGGCAAATTTTTTGAAAACTTTTTCGGTATGAGCGAAAAATGCAGTAATGCAAAAGAAAGTTTGGTCGCTTAGCCTTTTGCAACTGACATACACATACACTGTTTAGAAACAGCTTCTTTGTTGCACTTCATTGACCTTTAGTGGTTGAAGGCGTTATATTCTGCAAGCTGTTCCTGCGCCGCCCTTACACTCCACAAAAGCATTTTGCGGCTTTCTTTTCTCGCAATCGTTTTACCGCAACAGTGGTATCGGCTGTGTTCTCGAGGGGCGCCCAGAAGCGTGCGCTACAACGCACATTGCGAACTTCGTGACACCCTCGCACGACGCCATTGACATTGCTGCAAGTAATCAACATTGCAGCAAGCTACCACCGAAGCATCAAAACAAACCGTCGGTAACAAGAATAATGACAAAACACAGCTGCTGCCTCACTGCCCACATGAAAAGTTATTGTAGAAAAGGTAGCCTATATGTTGGGTTCCTTGTACTCTGTGCAGATAACAAGCATGAAAAGCAAACTGCAAATGAAGCGAGAATTGGGGGTGCTACCATGTTGCGGAAATCGTCGATATCATCTCTGGGAGACCAGTGTTTTTTTTCTGGTTTCCAGAAACCTGCGACATGATGGCGACATATGACCCTTCGCGTCAGTCATGGCAATAGCAAAACCTGTTGTCGTCACTCGAAAATCATGTGCATGTGTCTGGGCCTAAAGTTTCGTGTTTGTACGAAGCAACTGTTGGTTGGTGCGGGCAGTTTTGTGACCTTCGCTCGTTGTGTGCTTGTCAGCTGAAAAGTCTATACACTCGCACTGTTCATGAGCCCCACTGTGGTGCACAGATAATTCAAAATGACTGGGTTTTTTTGTGCACAGATAAAAAGAAAACAATACGGCATGCAGCAGTGGGCTAACGGGGGTAGGGAGCGAGGCGAGGGTGATCTGTAAAATAGTAAAAAACAGAAGAGCTCCAAAGGGCAAGAAATAGTTTGGTGTCGGTTAGCGTGAGTGCAGTGGATAAATGCAGGGGGTGAAAGGAGAAAAAAAAAGCATAGTTTTGGTGACTGAAGTTGGGGGTGCGTCTATTACACAAGTGCATTCATTATGCGAGTAAATACAGTGAAGCAAATATCATAGACAGTTTCTTTTTCTTTTCCAGGTTGCTGAAGATACATTGTTGAGGCATGGCAACATGATTCAGGAGATCAGCTCAAAGTCAAAGGAAGTGGAAAAGTTGCTTCCTCTGTTACCTTCTACCAAAAACAAACTCGGTCATCTTAAGGAGTCGTGGGATGCAATTCAGCAAATCGTATCTCGGATAGGCCCACCACTGTCATTGGTCATAGGTGTGTACATGTTCATCATTTCATGTTGACGTTTGTTATTTTCTGTGTGACTTTGTAGCTATCTACTGAAACTAGCATGGCCAATATGTTCTAGATTCTCACTAAAAAGAAATATTTTAACATTTGGTAAATCGAACAACTGCCTCTAACATGACTAGTTTCATGGTCAAATTCTGCAGTCCAGCTCACTTCCCAATAAATGAAACGCCTGTTAAACAGACCATTTTAGCGCGAGAGCATTAAAGGGCTCATTTTGCAGAAAGGAAAAATTCCGGTGTGAGGGTTATTGATTGTGAGTGAAAAATTGTCATTTTGTCTGCGATCGAAAAAGTGAGAAAGACGCTTATAAAATAAATATAACAATGTTCAGTTCGAATGAAAATAAAAACCGAGACCGCCTGCGTGACCAGCAAGTGTTCTATCACAAAGCCACAGTACTGTTTGAAAATGCTTTGCAAAAACACTATATGAACGTCAAGTAGTGCAAGGAGGTTTAATGCATGTTATGTAATCTCCTTGTGGGTCGGAATCATGTGGGGTGTTATAACATGTGAATTTAAAGACAATTTAACGAATCTGTGACAGGCTGTGGTAATGGGCTGGTTGAGGCTCGACTTTTCCTATAACTGTTTCATTAGAGATTTATTGTCTGTTCCAGATTTTGAAAACATCAGCCACCCTACATCGCCAACGATAATGCCCCTAACGGGGTACACTAAACAGTGGAACGACCTCGCAGGTGAGCTTGAAAAATGGCTCAAGGCTCGCGAAAATGAACTGGAGGCCCTCAAGGTCGACTATGGCGATGAGGAGTCCGTCAACTCCGCCATTGAGTACCTAAAGGTCAGCGCATGCACATCCTTAAATGTTTATGCTAAGCATGGCTGCATGACACTGCTTGCATCACGTAACCTATTATTTACACGGCATGCTCGTCTGTTCTTGTTTTACTGTTATTTTCAGCATAATTTCGAGATAAATTCATTTTGTGCATTCCTTTGTGGATATCCTTCTTGGTGCATTCTTTTTATGTTCGTATTATTTGTGTTTGCTTTGTCTTTATGTTTTAAGTGCTGTGTGCTGTACAAAGAAAACGGAAGTATATCTTAGAAAAATGCCTGGTGTGCCATCTGAAATCGACATAGACAACCACTGCTTTTCAAAGCTCAGACATGGTGCTGCCTACATCATGTGTTTGTCAGGTTTCTATATCACAATATGAACATATTAATGGTGCGTTAAATGATTCAGAAGTGAGGAACGCTTGCACTTGGGCATATGCTTCAGAAGTTTGAACGAAGTCTTCATGACTTTAATAAAATAAACTTCATAGTTTATAACGGGCTTGTAGGCTTGTGACAAGCTGAAAGGACTATGGTGGTGTACTTATATTATTACTTATAATTATGAAGCAGAAATAAGAAAAAGGCTTGGGCTCTTGCCAGTAGACTGTTGAACCTACAGTGATCTTCTTGCTGTCGACAGTTGCTCAATTAGTTTGTGAATTTACTGCACACTTCTTTGAGTTCCCAGTCTCTCAGTAGTTGGGTTAATGTTTGGCCTTGGGAAACAAAAAGAAAGGACTCCAATTTGGGTTTATTCAACTGTGATTACAATGTAAACGTTAAAGAAAATTAAGTTGGGCACATCTTTGAACAAATTAATGTCTTGGAAGCAGTGAGCAAGTTAGTGCAAAGCTATATCTTGAATCTAGCACAACCAGTTTCATCTAGCAGCTGCAGTCGCGATTGTGCAGCATTGAGGAACTTTTACTTTAGCTGCTCTGTTGTAGAAGGCTATCATTATTGTATAACTCAAACATTATCTCATACGAGAGTGGTGGCTTGGGCGAGACAAAACAGACTAAGACTCTCCCATTTAAAGCGGCCCTGAAACACTTTTTCATAACGATGGAATGGATTCACTGAAAGAGTTCATTGCCTCGCGAATTTAACGCCGCAAAAATTTGAAGAATCCATTCAGTACGAGCAGAGTTACAAAAGAATTGTCGCACGCTTCAATCGCGTTCTCTCTTCTCTCGTCCTGGCGAAAGCGCTGGAAGCTAAGCAGGGAAGGATGGCAGGGGCAAAGAAAATACGTCACCACGCGTGTCTCGGGACCTTGAGCACTTCTTTTTCATCTAATACGCGGCTTTTTCAGTGTGATCGCGCGCACACGCGTAGACAAGTCGTGGCCTGTCGCGGTGATATCTGTAGCGACCGGGCGCGCCATGTTCAAATCAGCCAATGGCTGATAAATGGCCTTCTACGCGCGATTTATGAGCGTCTTCCGTAATTTCTCGAGAGAAGAGAAAGCAATTTTTAAATGATATTTATAATTTATTGTGAATTCCAGGGCCCGTGCTGCGCTATGATATTTGGCTCGCGTGTTCTCGGGAGCCTCTATTACCGATCGGCAGCGTTTTCTGACCATGCTAAAAAAGTGTTGCAGGGCCACTTTAAAGTCTCTCATTTAAAGACGAGGACTACTTTTTTTTTTGTAATATTGGAAGCTATCAGCCATTTGGATAATTGCTTCATTTAGGAGCTGTAGAAACGTATGGGCGACCGTTGGCCTTCGCCAACTTACATTTCAAGCCCTGTCGAGGCAAACCCTTTTTTGTCCCACAGACGTGATCCCGCCTTTTTTTTTAGCCCCCTATTAAGGTGGCTTCACCTGCGTTTGCGTGTTGCGTGGGCAAAGCACGCTTTACAGGCGTAGGTCGAGTAAAAAGGGGCGAGTGATAGCACTTTATCAAAAAGGGATGGCTCTTTGGCCAATGATGGGGTAAGGGTAGATAGGTAGAATGTAAAGAGGAAGACCCAAGAACGCCCCCGGCGATGACGAATAGTCGGGCGACAAGTGGTTTTTCTGAAGAACTACATAAGGCTGTCCACGCCAGTCTGCAAAGATAAGTACCACGGGCTTGCTTGTTTATTCATCTCGATAAAGCATGCTTTAATATTCCGTTTTTATATGCGCGTCGTTTAGGTGAACTTTCTGAATCGTGATGGAGGCATGAGGATGTTGTGGATACCGGTAGTTAAGTACGCTGAGAGCGCGCTTTTGGCAAAGCTCTGTAACTGTCTCTAAAATAAATATTTGCATAGTTGTGTTATTTGTAGTGTGGCTTACGTATGGTTATCCGAAATCATTAACGTTGTTTTGCCTATAGTAAGTTGCTAGCAACGCTGCTATTAACTGATACGCCGCACCATTTTCTTCTTTCGTCGAAACAGTAATTACTGGTATCGCGTGGCGTCTTGTTTCGCGCGAGCACTGCTAATGGGAGGAATATGTGACTGACGAACTTGGGCAACTTGAGGCACATCTGTGGACTCAGCGGTGGCTATGGCGTATGTCGCGCGTCCTGGCCCGAGCTGGAATCATCGTTATGCACAAAGGCGTCGGTGAAACGGAGAAGTAGACAAAGGGTGCGAGAAACAATTTGGGTGTTGGGGGGGAGGGGGGAGGGTCGGGTTAATGAGGAGGTGCAGCTGTGCGGGTAGAAGCGAAGCCACCGCGAGCGCCGCAAAGAAACGTGCCAACACCGGTGGCACGCGCTTGCGTGTGATTTTGGGGCGGGAGGGGGGGGGGTGGGCAGGGACCGGAAATGAGTCGTTGGGAGGCCGCGAGATTGGTGGCGGCAACGGTGTGTTGTCTCGGACCCGGAAGCCGGTTTCCGTGCTCCGTTTGTTCGCTCGCACACTCGTCGTAAAGCCTGAACGGGCGCCATCTTGGTTTATGGTTCTTCCTCCCCGCGTTCCTCTCTCTCGCCACGCCGAGTTCCGCTCCGTTCATTGCCTTCCTTCCTCCATTCGTTCTTTTTTATTGTCTTCTCTATTTTACCGCCGCGCCCGACGACGTGTTCTTTGGCTTCGTCCTCGTCAGCCAGCAGCCGCGTGTTTGGCTTCCTCGCGGGTTGCGACAGTGCCGGCCCAGGCCAGACGTGCGCGCGAGGATGACGTCACCGCGGTGCCTAATGGTTCTTTCGCTCTGCCACGATAAATGGCGTGTCGGGCTAGACAGGAGTCGATTAAGTTCATTAAGTGGCAACCGCGAGAAAGCACATTGGTGTGGCGCCACCTCGCGTCAAAGCATGACGTATACGTAAAGCCACGCAACTTCGAATGGGTAGCGCATAAGACACGGATACAATACGACAGAGACGTAGACAGCACAAGCGCTACCTCCAAACCACGTCCTGTGTACGTCTCTATCTTTTGTATGCGTGTCTTATGCCCTATACCCATTCGAAGTTATGAATATTGCCAACCTGCCCAAGATGCCGCATTTACGTTAAGCTACTTAGCGCGAAGCTATCTTATAGTTGCAGTTGGCGTCACGCAGGTCACTTGGTCAGAAGGGGGTAGTGAATGAAGGTGTATATAAAGCGAAATAAAAATCCGAAGGTCAGTGTGATAAGCACTGAACCATACACTCACACTTCCACAATTAGGTTTAATCTCGCGTGTTTGTAATCTAGCTGCTGATTTAGGAGACTACGCGATATTGTTAGCCCCTCACAGCCTGCCTTCGGCTTGTCTGTCCGACGGTTACCACGGCGTGGAGCTGGCTGAGTTTTTATCCGTTAATGTTTGATACCATGCTTAAAGGCACTCCGTTCTCGAAGTGTGAATGGCTTAACGAGCCAGAACTCTCGCCAGTGCCTGCAGTCTAAGCACACGTCTGACGAACTTCGATCAGAAGCACATGCGAATATAATCTCGCGATGTTCCCACGATAAACTTTATAGGGACACTAAAGAGCATAACGATTTTTCTCGTGCTAGTGGATTGCGGCTTCACGGTAGCGAAAGCCCCACGCACGCGGCGAGCAGACGCTTGGGAATCGAGAAAAAAAAAACGCGTAGAGAGAAAACGTGTGGCGACGCCATCTTGAAGTTTCCGCGCTGTTCACGGATTTTGATGGCGCCCGCAAGGACCTACGTAGTTTCTAGGTGACAAAAAAAAGTAAGTACATCGTCCTCTGAAGGGGCCATATGCTTAATATACCTGGTTTGAGGATTTAGCCAATGGCGAGAAAATACGATAACATATTTTGTAATCAGTGACGTTTAATTTACTTTTGTAACCAATTCTCTCCTCTATTAATGACCATAGTATGACGAAATGAACGACATTAAAGTTCTCAGAGTACACTTGAAAACTGATTCATTGTTTGCCTTTTAAAAAAGTGACCTGCGCCGCGTGCGTGTAGGGCGATTTTGTCAGCGCCGAGAGCCCTGTGGTGGTCAAGTGCAATTATTGATCATTTTTTTTAATAGCTACGAAAACCTGCCACGAGGACTCCGTGTTCATTTGGCTATCCGCACCCAAACAGCGCGAGCAAGGACGGTCAGTTGGGTGAGTCGCTATGACGGGGTGTATCCGAGTGGGAAGCTTTCGCTCCGAGACCAGAAGATTGATTGATTGATTGATTGATTGATGATTGATCGATTGATTGAAGTATGCCTGCGTGCTCGACGTGTTTGACTGCTACCTCTTCGTATATTTGTTTTTCACCATAGAGGTAAATTCACCATTGAATTTGTTCGTAAAGCTTTGTTCAGTTACTCTCTCTCTCTTTTTTTACCTTTCGGGTATGACGCCATCTCTTTTTTCCGGCCATCATACGCTTTTTCAAAGCCAGCTTTGTGGCTCTGCAGGATGTCGATGCGGTTTGAAGACTTGTGCTTTCTTTTTTTTTATATATAACTACCTTCAGAGTCGTCTCTCGAGACTGCTTCATTCGCTACTCCCTCTCGTCTCCTTGATATTCGGCTCGTGGCGATAAAACGAGAAGTACAACGTTTTGCGGCACCGCTGTACAAACGGCAAAAG